TAATGTCTGAAGTCATAATAATGAACAGCCCCACTCACTATGTACCGCATATCACAACATCCGTGAGAAAAATAAACAATCAGAATTTGAGGCATTCCGTCCAGTAAATGAACGGTGAAAGGCCTTCGAACAAGTAAGATGCGCTCCAATCGGTGATCTCCTTCTCTGCACCCTCTTCTTCTCTCATATCGAAATCAGCTCCGTCCCATGACACCGGCTAAATAACGCATTAGACAGTTCATGAAACACATCTCTAAAAATTGGCGAATGTGGCATACCGAATGGAAAATGGGGTGCTTCTGCTGTGTGGACGTATTGGCCTTGCCTTGGCCACGCGGTAGACACCCACTTGGGTGTGGTGCGTTAGGAACGAAATGGTCGCGTCGCGGTGAGAGGGGCGTCGCGCGCGAAGGAATGTAGCAGGATGCAGCAGTAGGTAAGAAATACAAGAACAAAAGTACTAATAGTAGAATTATGCATAAAATAATGATCGCATATCGATTGAGCTGTATGAAGAACGCTAGAGCTGTAATAACGGCGAATGAGTGGTCCGCGACAGCCGCGTGCGGCTAATCGATTACCCAAAATTGTTCCTAACGCCCGTCTCCCCACCCACTTGAGCCTACATACTGGCAGACGGAGATGTATTGTACTTTCGCCGTTTGAGAGCAATTTGATAAAGGTGGAAAGGTTTGCTGAGTTGCAACGACCATCTTGCACGGGTAAGCTCTAGTCTCTAGGATATTGTTAGTCAGAGTACTAGTACTTATTCCTCGAAGGACATATTTTCATCGAAACTTCGTTGTTCTACTCGGTCCCTTTCTTACACAGTTCGCTTTGATCAGTGAGTACGTTGGGAGTACGGAGTAATACTAGGCATTAGTGTGAAGCGTGATGACCCACTCAAGTCGCTAATTCTAGCATTGACTTGATTTTATCCTAATGATTGCCTGAATCGAAAGTGATTTTTATGTTTGCAAAACTCAGTCTCATCAGCGAGAGGATCAACCGGATGGCTTCTAATCCTCTGGCCATTTCTGTGATTTATTTTCTTTTCCGTTCTACACTGTTTTTTACTCGATATTATTCTCACCTTCTGTTCGTTACTTGGCCTACCTCATCTGAACTCCTCTTCACCGAAGCACATTATATAACTATCTGTACCGATTGAATGATCAAGGAATGATCAGGTGGCAAACATGAACAGCCTCACTCACTGTGAACCATGTAAGAAACAGCTAAGAATAAATATATTTTCACTGCATCTCGACTATTGAACTTATTTGCCGCGGCTTTTCGAAAACACTGCCGCATTTGGTACGCTGCTTCTCTGCACTCTCCCCCTCTTTCACAGTTCCAAACCAGGCCCGTATACGCGACGCAGGGTATAAAAGGCCGGCACGAATGCCCTCCATTGCTACCAAGTGAGTTTTCTTTCAGAAAGGTAAAGTCTGATAAGAATAGAAGAAAGTAAGGGATTGGTATTACATCATGCACAAGGTAGTCATAATTTCTGGATTATTAGTGTAACGATTTCCTTCAAAGGATTTGTGTTCGCTGAAACCTCTGGTTTTCTTACTCAGTTCATTTTTTTTTTGCTTTGCCTTTGTCAGTGAGGACTTTCGCTAGTTTTGGCAACGATTTTCCATCACCCTAATGTTGCATGAATATTGAATAATTGAATGAATATCACCTTCTTTTGGGTGAATTTTAGGGAACGCTGTCTAACCAGCATAGATGGGAAATTAGAGAACGTCCATCGCGTGGGAAGTTCCTACCCGGGGAATGATGGAGAAACTAATTTGTAAAAGGCATCATTTTATTTCGTTGCTCGAGAAATTTCACAACAGTTCTGGTCGCCACCCTTCCCCTTCACCTATACGACGCACTGAAGAAAGGTTTTGAGCAGGGACACGGGTCAGCGGGTTGCTTTTAAAGGCACAATCCACAGTAAAAATGCTTTCTGAGTTCTCCTTGGAATACCCAGTGGCCCTCAAGGCTAACAAGAAGGAAGCTGTCGAGTCCTAATCTCAACAACTAGGACATAGTGAGAGCCCCGTTACCGGATCGCCCGGACTTCCCGCCCCTTGATCGATGTCACGTCAGGCGAGTGTCGAGGCGTTACAGATTGCAATATCCGCTCTAGGACCCACACGCAATCAGCTGATTGCCGAGTAATGAGGCATGTTTTTCTGCTATTCATCTATTCTCTGTTATTCTATTTGCTGCTGCGATCCCTTATTTAATATGAAAAATAGTTTAACACACCCATAACTCTCACAGTTCCCGTTTAGATGAGATTAGAAACAATACTGAACAGGACTTTCGAATTTTTCCGGGTCTGTATCCAGGTAACCCGCTGCTAAGCATGAATGAGAAACGAACTTTTTGAATCTAGGTACGCTAGGCAAGAAGTGCGCTAATGAGATAAGGCGAATCATGGAGTTGCGGTTGCTAACGTGTAAGTCCAGAACATGAGCAATTACGAAAGAGTCAAAATGCTTACACATGGCTTTGAAAGGTGAGAAAAATTATACATTGAGAGTTTGAATTTATGAAGTTGCCCCAGGTGGAAGTTGAGCACTTTTACCTCCTTGCCAATTGGCAAAACACCCTGAATCGCTTAAAAGTCCTTGAACGAGCTCCATGAGTGGGTGGGGGTGAAGGGTGAAAAGGTGAAAGTCTGTAGGGTGAAAAGCAAATCTATTGAACCAATGCATGATCTAATCCATTCCAGCATAAGTTGCTCGCTCATCATAAAGGGGTTGTACTGGCCCTGATCTTCATGTTCGAAGGGGAAACCATCATTTAGCCGGAAAACGTCCATTAACGATGATTTACAATGACGACGTTCTTATTTACGAACTATGCCAGCTTGTTTTCTTTTTTTTAGTTGTTGTGCGTTACCATTAATTAAACTCAAAAAGTACAAAACATGTAGAATACCTATTACCCCCAGTTGTAAGTATAAAAGAGTAGGCTTTTGTCATCCTGTCAAGCAATCATCTAGCGGAATATCATGCTTACTGACTATGTAGGTAAAGGTGAGCCTTGGAGAGTGCTGCTTCCAATAAGTTTCGGTGAGTGTGTGATGAGTTTCACTAGTTAGGTCTCTGGGAGTAGTTCGAAAGTAAAGCTTAAAGGACAAAGTTTTGTAGCGTTAATCGATCCCTTCTGTAAAATGCGCCCACGCATTCGAAATCTGATACCAATTCAGCTACCCCAAATGAATGAAAGATTTGGTTGGCCTGGGCGAATATCGATCCGGGTTCAACCCATGACCGAGCGTAAATATAGTCTCTCCTTGCCACTACACCACCTCTGTCCAGTTCAGCTACAGATTCTATCTAACCTTTGAAGTCCTGGAAAAGTCGACGAAACGATCCCCTACTGGTATTGACCGCTTGTTAACGCTTGCTTTATTACTTTGTAGGTAAAGGCTATTCACTGCCATGAATGCCAAGATGAATGCTGAATTACTTGATAACAAAAGATTGAGAAAACCAGTTGAAAATGCTAAAAAGAAAAAAAAATTGAACGGATCAAGTATCCGGTGTTGACTGCGGGGAGTATCTGTATCAAACTTACCCTAACAAGAGCTCCTAGAACAGTACTTCCTTCACCGCAAAAAAAAACACCCGTACATACGCTGTCTATGTGGGAAAAAGCCAACTGTGATTTTTTTTCAGAAAGTGGCGGTTTGAATTGTGATAATGAGAGGCACTTAGGTGAAACATGCCTTCTATCAAAAGTTTCTACAGTATCCAAGAAATAATTTCCAAATGAAACACCATCTCCTGAAAGAACAAATAGATAACAAGTCTAATGGTAAGGAGCACGTTGTCTGAATTCAAGGAAACTGCGTCCGAGATTTTCGTCGAGGATCTCTGATTTAGACGGTCATTTATTTAAGCAGAGGAAGATAGAATGAGAGAAAACCTTTGGGAAGCCTCAAAGAATTGTGAACCAGAAAAGTTTGAACACTGAAAATAGTAGTTGAAGAATTTTTAATAACGAAAAGAAGGGACCTGTTTTATTTGCGAAAGCCAAAGTTGAAGGACATTTGGAGGGTTCCTTGAACTTTATGCACCTTCCAGATAGGAGAACAGCTTCACTAATCTGGCACGACCAGTGGAACATGTTTACAACTCTGTTTACCGCTTGAACAACTCAAAAAAATTGGGAGAGGAGAGCACAGACAGTTCATGCGATAACTGTATAGTAATAGATAAGTTTGCATTTTTGAAAGTGGGCGAGTTGTATGAATTCATATGAGGCCATTGAGTCACTCCGGTTCGTTTCCCTTGACGATATGCATTTTTGCAACAAATAGGCTTCCTTCAGTGGTGGCCATCAGCTGATTAAGCAGTATATAAAAAAGTGAAAAAAAGAGGAGACAAATACGACGGAACGAGAACTCCTGGCCAGCTTCAGTAAGACCGCGTTATCATCTGATGGGAGACAGACTGTTTTACTCTTTAGCGACCTCATTCTGATAAGAAAGCATCGGTTAGTAACGACAGAACGCTGTTGTGTGTTCAGTTCTGATTGATTTGCATTCATTTGTCTGCACTGTGTTCGCAACAACCGCCGCTCAAAGGATGCTGGCTCTTGGTTACCTACTGCTCCTTCATTTACTGGTATACACAGCCGCTCAGAATCCCTTGTCAACGTTGCAGTTTGTGGCCTTCGTAAGCGTTCGATTTTTCATATTAGGAGGACAACCAAACAGCAATCGATCGATATTTCTACTGGGGGGCCGTAAATAGAGAGAAGTACTTCAACGGCATTTTTATTGTTAGAAACGTAATGCCATTCAGTGGTTTCGACATGGCGAGCGAACACCAACGCACTACATGTACTTCCCCAAAGAAATACCCCCATTGATTCGATATACGGAAGCGGAGCCAGGGGAGCTTACAAATGTAAGTTTTTTTTTTTGAAAAAGTGCTTGACATAATTCCTAGTTCAACTAGTTCATGATCTTTCACTTTCAGTGTGACGTTTACTAGAAAATGTTTCAGAGAGGTATCCAACAAGCTTATCAACGGGGACAGTTTATACGAACACATTACGACAGCTTCCTTGGCCTCGTGTATCGTCCTTCAGAAGTAGGTTAATTGCAAAAAGCTTCTTCTTCTAATGAGAGACAGTCTTGGTCTTCATATCGCACCCATGGCCACAGCGCTCTTCTACACAATCCCAGCTTTGCCTTATTAAAGGCACAGTTCACGATGGATATGGTTCGTGATATTGGCCCTAGAATGAACGGGTGGCTCCCAAAGATTGCACCTAGG